ACACACACACACACACTCAGTCACGATGAGTCATGTTAAATAAATGCCACCCACATGTCCGTTGGCCAGGTCGAGCAGGTCCCGCAGTCTGCAGCCTCGCCTGTGCCTCCGCTCGTAACAGATGCTGTTTTCCAGCACCACGTAGTCGGCCCCGGCGGCCCTCAGGATTTCGTAGACTTCCTCCGGGGAGCGGCGAGCGTACACCTGATACACCTGCTCACACACACACAAACACAGACACACAGATTGGAAGTGAAGTTTAGGTTTGTGTGGATTTTATGATTGCCTTTTTTTGCCTAAAGATCATCTGGCTTTATAATTTAACACCAATATTGTTGGAAGGAGAAAACCTCTCTCCTGGAACTCAATTACCAGGCACATTTATTTTCTAAATTATAGTTTTGATGAAAGTTGGTTTAGATTCAATTATAACATGTTTACTGGAAAAATCTGAAGAAAAACAATTATGAGTGAAACAAAATCAGGTGGGAGAACAAAACACAAAAGTGTTAAACATAACAGATCTCCGATTTCTGAAATCCGTTATGGTTCATCTTTCGTTTGTAGCAGACGAAATAAAGCTTTTTCACAACAGCAGATTTAAATAGACAAATTATGCAAATCATACGTGCTGCAATACTGAATTGTTTTACAGGTGTTTATGGGATTTTGGTTTAAATGAGGAGTGAAACACTGCAGTGACAAACCAACTTGCAAGTTTATACAAATGAAGACCTTGGCTGTGACTGGAATCACTTATATTTCTTGTATCATGCACGATATTTACCCATGCCATTTTAATTAAATGTCCAAATTCTGAGTATGACATGTATGCACTGTATTTAGGAAAACATGAGAAAGAGTTGTGTGCATGGCATGTGCACTACTTTCTGCTAGCAATTCCACAATTCCCCAATGTGATGATAATTCATGTCAGAAATATCAGTTTACTGCTCACTCCAGTAATGAACGAGTTAACGAGGCAGTGATGCATAGGAAGAGGAAGTAAAGTCTGGGGATGGAGCTCTGTCAGTCCACAGTGATTCACAGCTTACACTAATCAAACATTTCCAGATATTAATTCTAGCGAGGAGTGACAGAATCTGATCTGGTAACTAACAGAGGGAGGAGGGACAGAGCAAACACTGTCCTACAATACAAAAAGTCTACAGTCCCACCAGTGGCTCTAATACTCATAATAATAATGCTAATGTGCTGATGTTTATCAGCTGTGCCTAATGTAGCTGCAAATCAGAACATTTTATTTTTATTTTTAGAATTGTTATTTTAAGGATAATGTCCCAAAAATCTTGTAAAAAGGTAATCTGTGTCCCAGCTTGTTACATGCACAGCTCACTGAGAGGCTTTCATATTGTGTGCTTCAACTCTGAATGAATGAGTCTGGTGATATATTTTTCTTATTGTCAACGAATCGCATTAAAAGACACAGACCAACAAGTTAATTGTGTGTCCATCACATCCTGATGTATCTTACGGTCCATGCATTTGTTCTTCTGACTTACCTCTAAGTCGTAACATGGAAACAACATGGATGCTTGTATTTTATTGAGATTCATAAGATTTATGTTGCTGTCGAAGTTTGCAGAAACAGTTTGAAGCTTTGTATTATAGATAGATAAGATAGATTAGATAGATAGAACAGACAGACAGTATATCTATCTAGTATTGTATTGTGTATCAGTACATTCCCTAAAACCAATAAAATGTTGCTTTACCTGACTTGTTTAAATTCTAATAAATAACTAATTTAGGTCACTCTACAAAGCAACTATTGGTTACAACCTAATAAAAAATAAAAAAAAAACATTTATTACCATCAACCCAACATTTACTTAAAATTTTTGAAGACTTTCCCAGTTGTTGTTCCCACTTGGGGGAGCGTTCATGTGAATTTTCCAAGTCTGGACTTGTTTTACCAATTATTCTGACACCACATGAATGCAGCGTCATTCCTCTGTGCCATAGAGCTCAATCGTCTAGAAACTATGAAAAGCACGTAACATAAAGACACACTGTTGCACTGGGTGACATTTTACCTAATTGCCACAATAGTCCCCAACAAATGTAATATTTCATCCTGATGGCTAAAATCTACAGTTTTAGGAAATAAAATAGCCATTGTATAACACATTGTTGGATTTGGTCTTTTCATGGGATTTCTTGTCGATAAGGACAATTATAAATGTTATCCTTAAAGCACCTTCTGTTTAGAAAACCCTGTACATGAAGCTTTATGTAGGTGTATTTGTGTTACAATCACAATCTAACACAAAAAAGAAAACTTTTCAATGGTTGCTTTCCAATTCCGATGTATGCCCGCTGGGCATCTGAATTAATTCAGAAAAAAAAAAAAAGCATGTATGTAAAAAAATAAATGCAATTTGTCCACTAATTAATTATTGTGTAGTGACACGAAAATGAAGGCATGGGAAGAAAAAACAACTGGAAACATCATTAAGGTTCTTACAAATGATTCTTAACTGGATTCTTAACATCCAGTCAGTATCAGGCAATGACTCGATCTACTAGCTGAGCATGTAATAATGACAAGCACGGCAGGTCAAAGGGAAGAAAAATCGTGAATACACGATGTGAAGAGAAAACATTATGAAAACTTTTTTTATGCCATTTAACAAACAACTGAATTTATAAAACAAACAGAATCAAATGGAAACACTTTTTAGTTACTCAGCTTGGTTTGAAAAGTGGTTTCCTCCATTAATGACAGTGGAAACCTTTGAATTCACATTAACATAAAACAAACACTTCTCACATACATTACTAAGACGCACTTAAGTGCTAGTGTCACCATTCATCTCTCCTTTGCTGGAGCTCAGCATTTTTAGACTCCATTTTACTACTCAGTCACTTAATGGATGCACATTGTACTCAGTGCATCTTCTGATCCGTATTCATTCACACAATCACTGCAGGTCACTGGCCCCCCATCTATAGACAATTCCCTGATCTCTCATGCAAGACATTAGCACAGAGCTAAGTGAGACGGATGGGTGAGGCAATGTGGCTTCAGCTGCAGTCGCACAATACAGATTTCTCTGTGTAAGAAAGAGGCTGTCATTAGAGCAACAGCAAGTTCTGGAAATTCTGACTGAATTTCTAAAAGGTTGTATATCACAACAATAAAATGGCAACAAAAGAAAGCATCAAATAATGTCTAAATACACCTAAACACTGTTATACATAGATGAACTGGCCATCAGGAGCACCGGGAGAAATCATTATTACAAAAACAAGAGCGAGAGAAATGCTCTGTCAGCCCACTTTGATTATGCACCAGTCCACATCCTCCTCCTCAAGACCCTCAAAGACCCTGTTAGTCGAGGTTTTGCAACTGAAGTTGTAAGACTGATGATAATATAAGCAATGTTTTAGTTTGGCTGGCTGGCTATTCAGCTATATTGTTCACACATGTTCAACTACTATGGCAAGTCACAAGGTTCACTCATTTTAAGTCTGACTTTTCAGTTTTTTAAGAGACTTTGTTTTGCCAAATGTGAATTACAGACACCAAGAACAATGAATCGTTCAGCATGTTTTACCAAACCGAAGTATGGAGATGACTTACACTCTTCCTTACACCTTAGTGGTAATCTTAGTGGTAATGGTAAATGGTAAATGGCCTGTACTTAGTTATAGCGCCTTTCTAGTCTTCCGACCACTCAAAGCGGCTTTTACACTACGTGCCACATTCAAACCCTTTCACACACATTCCTCAGGTGAATGGGGCAAAGTCCATCGAACAGAAACTAACTATTCATTTCATTCATTCATGCATCAGGGAAGCAATTTGGGGTTCAGTACCTTGCTCAAGGATTACTTCGCACACGGGCTGCCAGGAGGAGCCGGGGAATCGAACCAACAACCAGTGCTGCTGTTCAGTTGCACTTTTACAGCATAAAGTGATATTTAGATGCAGTGTAGTTGCAACAGAGTCAATAGAAATATGAGAACAGAGACAAACAAGAGATTTTGCTCTGAGCACATCAAATTTAGGCAGAGACAGAGTAGATCTGCTTGAGTTGAGAATGTTTCAACTTGAGTGAAAATTTGCGGTTTTTCAGGGTTTCACTGACACCATGAATATAGAGTCGGGAGCAGAAAGGAAAGGGTCTGGAGGAAAATAGGAGGAGGTGGAAATCATAGCAACTCTGGCAGTCGGAGCTGTCACACATCAGTCGTCGGTAAGGAGAATCGTCCACTGAATGCTCAAGGACAAAAGATTGCAGCCAAAAGATAGAAACACCACTCCAGTGCTTAAAATGCGCCAAAAAACTAATCCCAACAACACCGTCCCCCTATTTCACCATGGTCACATACAGCCGAATGAATGGATACTGCGAGACAGTTTCCTCTATCACACGAACAGTCACATTTTTTATTTATTTATTTATTATGTATTATATTATTATATTGTGTATTATATTATTATATTGTGTATTATATTCATTACAAACATCATTTCATTACACAATTATATTTTTCTCTGTGTTTTTCAAGAGCAATAGCAGTCACTATGTTGCTACTGGCACCAGCAGTACACACAAAAACAGACTTATTATTTCTAGCCTTTCTTTTACCTTCTGAAATGACAACTGTGATTGACAGATATAGAATCTGGTAATAAAAAGAACATATGCAATAATAAAGCTATGGTTAGTTCCATGATATGCACTTGATGGCTACATATATAGCTAAAACACTGAGGCTAAAGCTACATGTGCAGGCATAAAGCCAACATCCTAATATTCTTTCTAAAATAACACTATTTGGTTGCTTAGCTTACATACTTGTTCATATTTACAAACGTATGTCCTTACTTTTAACTTAACAAGAAAAAAGGTTTCCAGAAAAAGGGAGTGGAAGCAGAACAGAGCTGCTAGCAGTAGCACCCAGCTTCCACACAGAGAAGTACTATACAGTGGATGTGCTAGCCATGAACAGGGCTAGCACATCCACAACCACAAAAATAATATATATAGTTAACAGTTAGTCAGGCATGCTTTTTTACATTTTACATTTACTCATGTGGCAGAAGATTTTGTCCAAAGCAAGATGTAAATGAGGTACAATCCAAGCCACAGTAGATCAAGGACAAGCTTTTGAGAATGAGTGCTTCCATTAGAGCAGGTAACACACTGTTTAATCCATTCCTCACACATTTGCTTATGTGTTTTTGGTTTTGTTTAAGGGCTAGAAAAAAACACTTTTTTTGTTTCAAACTCTTTAAAATGCCAATTATCACCGAATACCATAGTAGTTACACCTGTGGTAGAAAATGAAACACCTTGGAAAACTGAATAAAGTAGACATTCTGTATACTTGTTCTGAAATATCTGCACTCAAACTCGTGGTTACCAGATAGGGAATGGAGACAAGAGATTTGAAAGACACAATAATGACTAACTTAACAACAGAGAACCATTTTTAAAAATAATTCATTTTAGAGTTTGAGTCAAGATTTATGAGACACAGACCTATCTTCAAAGGAATCAATAAACAGCACTTCGACCCTTTGTGTTTTTTATTCTCCTGACCTTGAAATTTGCTTTGCACATCCACAAGCTCATGGTGCACAGGTAGAAGGAGTGGCACAAATAGGTGGTGGGTTAATTATAAGGCAGTGCCATGCAAGTTTCTGGTATTTTGGTAGAAACTGGGTTTTGGACTACAATGACTGTCAATCTGCAGCCAATCTGGTGAACTAACAACTTGCAAATGAGCAGCAATGATGGATGAATGCTTAAAATGTAAACTATTTCAATTAATCACTCTCCAACCAGTTGATGCATTTAAGATCAACATTAAATCCTATATTCAAAGTAGGAAAAAAACGGAGCAGTTTTGGGAGATGAACCATGATGAATCGTATTACAACACAGTGTGGTCCTTTAACTAATTTATGGCGAGACCTAAACCCCTCTCCCTAAAATGTACCTGTCCTCACACATATATCCTCCAATTGTTCCTACTAGCTACTAATTTACATACTCCCTCAGTGTTAATCAAAGCTATAAAACTCCACCATCACATATTTTACATTGACAGAATATTTAGCAAATTTTCTCCTTTGCACAAATTTGACCATTTATGTTTATTTGCCTCAATCTACTAACTGTAAAAAATGTATGCTGTAAGCTAGCTAGCAATGGACAAAACCACAGTGCGTGTGGAGTTTTGGGTGGGCAAATTTGCGTCTAATTGCGTTTCTACATATGTTTCTACGTATGCAATCGTGCTGCCTCCACACAGTAATGACTCCCATACTGCTAATTGGCATTCAAATCAACAGGACTCACTTGTATAACCGACACTGTAATTACCATCTATTAACTTCTAAGCTGAAATTTTCCATTTATTCTGTTTGTGTTATCTTGCAGCCCCTCTGGTGGTGTCCGCACCCCTGTGTATGTTTGACAATATACTGCAGCCTACAGTACCTGTCTGGTCCTTTCCCGCAGGTCTTTATCTTCATAATGGGGGTGGTTGGTGAGAACTCTGCCTGTGCACAGCTTGATGCCAGCCAGCAGCTGCATGCTGCCTGCAAATACAGCCTGCTTAGGGGTCTTTGTGCTGTGGACGTGAACAGAGAGAGAAAGAAGAGAAAAGGACCCATAATTCACCACAATAAATATATAGATAATATATAACATAACAAAGCTTTTGATGAACTACATTGTGTTTTAGAGCTTTGTGAGTGCTAAACAAGAGAAGAGAGAAAAGGGAAAAAAGTATAAAAAAAAAATAAAACACAGATGTTCTGTGGTTTGAAGATAAAAAAGTTTGGCAGGTATTCACAGGTGCAGCCAGTTATCAAAAAAGTTTGATTGAATTTTGTTTTAGTTTATTTTCAAGCTTTGTTATTCAGTCCACATGCTTTTGCTTCCCGTGTTTGCTGCAATAATTGGGATATATTGATGGCATTTAAAAGTTCCTTTCAGGGATGTGGCTTCAAGGACAGCAGCTATCTGCATCAGGACCAAGTACAAAAACATTTTTTGTACAGACAAATTAAATTGCATTGAGATGGCAAAAGATGTGCAGTTACTGTGGTACAGAAATATCTGCAGGCACAAGGACAAGTCTTACTGAAAACACACTCACACAGACACACATCTCTTACCTGTAATTTTTACCCAGGGGTCATTTCTAATCTAAACTCATGCCTACACACAAGACAGTGCTAGGATTGACAAAGCTGATTGCATGAGCTAAAAATACTGGACACTTTGATTATACTGCTAGCTGTGACCCAACCCTGTCTCAATATTGGTCTTGTGGTGACAATATGAAACCTGAATGTCAAGCACATACAGATTATAGGGTAGGACTGTAGCAGATTCCTGATAGAAAAATGCAGTACAAAAATAAATTGTGGACTGATAGATTGATCTCTGAGGCTGTAATTTGACAGCATGGTGCTTTGAGCTACACAAGCACACTAATGTGCAATTATAATGACATGCTGATGTTCAGCAGGTACAATGTTTACCATGTTCACCATCTTAGTTTAGCTTGGTATCATGCTAACATTACATTTACATGTCCAGTGTGTAACATTTATTAGCAGAAATGGAATATAATAAGGTGATGGTATCTAAAGAGAGAGCGTTCTTTAGTTTTAGACAAATGAATAGAAGCCATAAATATCCCTTCCAACAATGTTTCTTAAAATCACCACCAAAATACACTTTTAGTGGCCAATGTTTAGACTTTTTTTAGACATTTTTGTAGCCAGAAATACAGCGACATGAGGAAAAGTGCAGCTTAAGGCACTTCAGCATGTTCAACAGGTAGCCATGGTGGTTGCTGAAGGGATAAAAGGCTCGAATTCTTCCTTTTGCTGCTGTCCGAGAGCTCAACATTTCAAATCACAAAAGCAATATAGCAGTGCAGTGTTTGTGCAGTGTTACATTGGGTGCGGTCACAAGCAACGCATTTAAATCATTCTACCCACACACAGAGGTCAGTGTGGCAATGCTGTGATTCTACCATAAAAGATCTAGCAGCACATCTGACTAACCATCTTATAGACATAGCTTCAAACGCCAACTGAAAGTACCAGTGCATACTGTAACACCATTATAGCTATATATGCCTCGGTTACAGTCCAGTTACAGAGGAAGGCTTTTGTACATATTATATGCCCTGTGTGTACAGTATGTGTGTGTAGCACAATAATTCTAGCTTTATGTGTGTAATAAATATATTCGCTGGAGCGGACGTGCAGATGGGCGTGTGCGATGGGGTCAATGTGTGTATTCATACATGCTCTCGGGTGGATGTGTGGGTTGATGTCCTGGCCTCCTGACCTGCAGTAGAAGTGGGTCATTTCTGCCTGTCTTTTCTCTCTGTGAGTGTGTGAATTTAATCGCTCACTGCATCCCAGGGAATAGCTTCCACCTTCAAGTTGATTTACATTTAATTTCACATTTATATTCCCATATGTTAATGCCAGAGGGCACCGGCATGCACCCGACTGACATTATAAAAATGAAGTAATGACATTAATTGTGGTAAATGGGGTGGGGGGACCAGAGAGCAACATTAAGAAAGAGAAACATAAGAGAAAGAGAAGAGCAGTTGAAAGACAACAAAGAGGCATCTGGGATTTACCCACTTCCTTCTAGTTCGGTCTAGACCTGCTCT